CCACCAGCCACTCCTCGGAAGGAAGATGGGGCAATCTACTTCCGTAGTGATACCGCCTCGGAAACCCAAAGAGGGGTTGCTATGAGTCGGGTCCGACTCGACGGCACATAACAACAACAACGACAATTCTTAGTCTTAAATGAAATGTTCAGATTCTGTGGATGAATGTTTGAGCTAGTCTATACAAGAGAATACACCTTAAATTTTAAATATAAGTGAAGATGAGGAAAATTAGGAGACATAAGGGTGGGAGTGGGAAGACCATGTGGGATTTTGGTGCTATAGAGAATGATTAAAAATTGGAGTTTATTTACTATGTTGTGCTTCATGTTTTTAGACATTGTTGAGGTCATTGATGAAACCATAAAGAAAAGCAGAAGACTGGTTATCATTTTAGTCAGAGACACGTTGGAATTCAGCTGGCTGGGGAGCACATCTGAAGAGCAGATAGCTCTGTATAGTACTCTCATTCAAGATGGAATTAAAGTTATCCTGCTTGAACTGGAGAAAATCCAAGACTATGAGAAAATGTCAGAATCAATTAAATTCATTAAGCAGAAAAACAGACCCATACGATGGTCAGGGGACTTTACGGAGAAGTCACAGTCTGCAAGGACAAGATTCTGGAAGAATGTAAGGTACCACATGCCAGCTCAGCGGAAACTGCCTTCATCCACCCACAGCTTACTGTCTCCAGCCACTAGCTCAAACTCTATGGAGAAATTGCAAAGAGAGGTCCATGTGCCTCTTGGGTAGCATGGAGATCCTTGGGCAAAGAGTTCCTTGGTGACTCATGTCTTAATGTGCTCAAGTCTGGGTTGTGCCTCTTGCTGTTGCACAGTGATAAAGAGCACGTGTATAGTCCTTTATCCTTGAGGTCACCTGGAATCAGAAGGCTGATGGAGCAGGACATGGTGACAATGGCAAGCCATGACAAAGCAGAGTAGATGGTTTGGGAAGGTCTTTAAAAAGGCAAAAAATGATGTAGCAGTTCTCAAAGCTTAAAATGTTGAGAAATGGCCCTGGGACAGCAAACTAGAGGAAAGGACATGCAGCAAATTTGTATCATCTGAGATGGTTTTATGAAGTTCCCTATGTCCTGAGATAGTGCATGTGGGGCCTTTCTGGGAACTTGGCAGTGTAGCCTCCTGCGTGGCTGCCGTGGGCAGTGCTGCAGGCCTATATGACTGATACCTTACAGAGGAAATCAGAATCATTCCTGGAGAACTTTACACTTGCCTTTCATTTTCCATGCACATCTATAGCTAGTAGTCAGTCTCTAAAGACGGGCTGTCATTTCATAGACATCTACATTTCCATGAACAACAGGATGCTTCAGGATTCCAGCATTTTGAAATAACCTTAACTTTCCAAAGGAGAGAGAATTTTTAAAGCAATGGTAGCAGAGAATTGTTTCACCTCTTTATGTTTTCCTCCCTGGAATGAGCATTCTGTTCGCCTTTATTTATCTGCATTTTATTTGACTCATTACTTTTTGAGAGGACAACTGCTGAGCCCTTTTTCCCACCTCACCACTCTCTGTCACATACATGTACCCACAGATTAACTACCTTCATAAAACACTCTTTCATCTCATCTTGCTCCTGCTTAAAAAAAAAAAAAAAACCTCCCCGGGGTTTCTTGTTTATGAGCTCAGTTTCTACAGAATATTTCTGCCCAGCACCCTTGCAGTCTGGCTTCAGTGTGTCTTCACACCTTCCCCTTCATGTTCTGCTGAGTAAACCCAGGTCAGCCTCAGGCCCCTTTGTGCCTGGCATGCCCTGCCGTTTGCTCTCACTGCACCTGTCCACTCAGCTTTCCGTGCCTAGAATGCCTTCTCCCATTTTCTCTAGCTGAACAGAATTTCACTGTAGCTCAAAATTTGCTCCAATTTCATATTCCCCAAGAGACTGTTCCCGAGAGCCTGCCCTGAAATGCTCTTTCCTCTCAATCCAATTATATTTACTGTTGGTTATTACTTTCTAAGAAGCTGTTCTTTTTCTAGCTAGAAGCAGTGCCTTCTGAGGGCAAGGCTCTATGTGTTTGCCTCTCTGTCCCTAGGTGCCTTCCACAAGTAATTTGCACATTTAACATATATTTGGATAGTTCTTTATTGTTTATAGGATGTTCTCACATTATTTTAATTATTTTTTGCAATTATTCCAATTTTATAGAGTGAATAAGTGATCTGTTTGTTTTTTTTCAAATGAACCTCAGTTCCTAGACCTTAGCCCATTGGTTTGAATACTTCATATCAAGTCAAAAAATGCCCCCCATCCCTGCATGTACTTTTGTGAGAAAAAATATCAGTTTTCTTAGGTGGTAGCTAAGTCTAGGAATTCTGTTATTTAAGAAACCTAATTTCAAATTTTGAATGTTGGGATTTTCAAAATTTATGTTTAGCTTTTATGAAACCCTTTTTTCTGTTTTCATATATTCTTTCCCTAAAGCCTCTTATTGAAATAAAAGCGAAAGCAATTTTTTAGGGGAGGGGATATGGAAAAATACTTTAAAAAATTTAACGACAGTCCTTTGGATGATTAGAGAGCTGGAGAACAACAGACTAAGTTTTGGAGCCAGTTACTGAAGCACTTGTGCAGTTTTAAAAGCTGTGTAAATAGACAAGCCCTCTGTTTTGCCCATTTTTAATATCTAGTAAAGGTCTTCAATATGATGAATTGACTGAAACATAGCAACGATTGTGAGGATGTTGCAGGTCTGGGCAGTGTTTCATTCTGTTATACACAGGGTCACGAGGAGTCAGGCAGACTTGACAGCCCTTAACAATAACAACGAATATCTAATATTATGGGTAAACACAAAATTTTATTTGGAATAATATTGTATTTTTTTCCTCAAAAGCAGTCAGATCTAGACAAAAACACACAGCCTGGACTACTCCTTCCTTTCTATCTTCTCCTGGCTGCCGTTTGACAGCATTGAGTAATGGTCTTGGGTTGGGAAGCCCCTTCCAAAGAAAGTGCCTTGTTTCCATTTGGTAGCACCCACAAATGGCAGCCTGAAGTCCAACAGGGAGGTAGCATGTTCCAAAAATGACTATTGGGTGCTTTAAAAATAGAAGTTTGCTGATGATTTTTAGTGCATCATCTGTAAAATAGAATGGGATGAAAACCAATTCTGTAGTGTAGAGTTAGAGACATAATTGGCCTGAAATTAAGGAAGGGGGAAAACAAGCCAGAGCTAAAAGTAGCATTTCACTGGAGGTTGGGAAGGGACAAAAACTGACTGATCAGTGTGGGTGGAGGAGGATCCCAAACAGGAAAGTGTTCTGACACTCCCATCTCAGGACAGGGAGGATGCAGAAGCGAGAAAGGACATGCCTAGTTCTCTGTGAACTTCCTTAAGACCTCTATTAAGTGTTTCCTTTCACTCCTCCCTACTAATTAGATTGTACTGCACTCTCTGATAGAATTTTTAAAAGTCAGCTTTCAGTGTTTATTAAAACAAGTTTGCCATTGCAACAAATTATATAAATACCAGTTGTTAAAACTGGTTTTAGCATAAGTGCTATTTTTGTCTCCTGCATTTATTTTATATTTGCAATAAAGAGAAGATATTGAGCCATTTTTAATAACATTTTGGATAAATTATGTTTGTACTGGTTAATGATGAAGGTATTTTTTTAACTTGTTTGTATAATTCTGCAGCAAATGCCAGATATTTTTCTCTAGTAAATCATCAGATTCATGTGTAGCGTATATCATGGATCAATGTACTGTACTTGTTTTACAATAAAATTGCCAAAACCTAGTCTCAAGCAATGTCATTTAAAATCTGTTTGTTTGCCTTTCTCTACAGCTTCCATGGACACTCCCAGGTCTGAGCTAGTGTGAGGACAACTTCTACTGAGAGAGTTAGTTTGGAGGAGGTTCAGAGGCCTTAGGCGGGACAATGAACTGTAACTTCCATTGTGTAGCCCCATCTGTACTCTGTCTTAGTTTACTTGCTTCCAAAATGGACTAAAAAGTCTTATTATCCCTTTGCTTGCCCAGAAGTTGATAAAAAGCAACATTTTATAGACTTTTACATTTTTCTAATGGTTTCCATTTTCTCCTTTGACCTAGGAGCTCAACAAAATTGGCAAACTGCCTGCCTGAAATGCATATGCTTTTTTAAATTCACAACTCTAAGTATCAGAGAGCCCCTCAATGCCCACTCAGTCATTGTCTCTTTATTCTTACCTTGTAGCATTTCTAACAGGATGGTGGCTCCTTCAGGAACTGAGAGAAGGAGGAAGATGGGGGGGGAGGGTTTACAGTCTGAGAGACTTAAATATTGCTAGCATTATCTGCCTGGTGTGACATTTGGTCAGCCTATTTGAGCACTAGTTTCCTCATCTATAAATGGGTATAATACCTCATTGAGAGGCTGTGTAAGGATTAAAAATATTAAATATACTATGACAAGTACAATGCCTAGCATACAGGTGTCCCTGGGTGGCACAAATGGTTAAGCAGTTGACTATTAACGAAAGGTTAATGGTTTGAATCCACCCAGAGGCACCTCAGAAGACAGGCATGGAGATCTACTTCCAAAAGATCAGAGCCTTGAAAACCCTATGGAGCAGTTGTACTCTGAAGCCATGGGAGCTGCGATAAGTCAGAGTCAACCTGATGGCAACTGGTTTGATTTTTTTTAATGGGGAATTACTGATACTCCCCTTTATCCTGTGACAGCACCAAACTTTAAATGATGTTTAGTGACCTAAATAGGAAAAATAGAATACATCTGAAAAAAAGGTACATGGAGAGATTAGTCAGAGATACAAGTTTTGGGTATAATATTTATTTCACAATTATGGTATTACAGTGTGGGTGCAAATGTTACAGAAAATAGATGACACTAAAAAATTAGTGCATTATAAATATTTTAAAACAAAAACTCATCACACATTGATCAGGTCTCTTCTAAAGAAGGCTTGGGTGATTAAAGCACCGAAGTCCTGTATGTTCATTTTAAATCTGAGCATCCACTCACTGAATGCAGCCATTGCTAACCTTTGTTAGACCAGTTGATCCTATACCCCTTTAATCTAGACTCAACTGATCCTGATGACCTTTCTAGTGTTGCGCTCAACAACTAGGAAATTAATTTTCTCATAGAGTGAAGGTCAGTGATGCTTGTTGTTTCGTTTTCTTTTTATTGTAGTAAAGTATACACAACCTGAAATTTGCAATTTTAACATTTTCAAGTGTACAATCCAGTTGTGTTAATCACACTCACAATGTTGTACAACTGTCACCACTCTTCATTTTCAAAACTTCATCGCTCCAAATAGAAAAGCTCTATTAAACAGTAACCCCGTTCTGCACTCCCCTCAGCCCTTACTCCTCACTAATCTACTTTCTGTCTTTATGCATTTATTCATATAAATGGGGTCATTCAATAGCTATTCTTTTTTGTCGGGCTTATTTCACTTAGCAAAATGTTCCCAAGATTTATCCAGGTCATAGCATGGACTAGAACTTCATTCCTTTGTGTGATGAATTACATATACCACATTTTGCTTATCCATTCCCTGTTGACAGATGGAAGCTTGTTTTCCTCAGAACTTTTGGCTTGGAAGTGATCTCAAGTGGGCATTTAGTTCATGCTCATGGATCTCAGAAGGACCACACTGATATGGTTCCACAAAGTTCACTGATTTTCCTTTTATTAGACATATCTTGAGAGTGAGATTTCATGCGAGAGTATTGCATGTTTAACAGCCATTGGTGGAACCCACTTCTGCTTTT